AGAGAATTTTTTTTTTTTTTAAAAAACACATTTTTATTAGGCCTAAGGTGTGTCTGGGTACAGAGCATTTAGAGATCAAGGACATTGCCGGGCTAAACTAAAGTTGCAGGGCACAATATCCTTGTTTGGGAAAGAGCCTCCATCTCTCCAAGCAGTGTTCAAAGGACAAATGAAGAAAACATTTTGCAGCTGCAGCATGGGGGCTGGCAGCTGAGGAAGCCAATTCCTGACAAACCCGTGTTTGACCCAAAATACAGGCACCAGTAAAAACACACTGCATGACACAGAGTGTGCTTAGGAGACCAGGGGAAACCCAAATGTGGAGAGAATTTTATAGAGAGGACAACTGGTCATGGAAACCCACCCCTCCCCTCCAATCCTACTGCTTGCAGGACCAGCTGGGAGAGACATGTGTGGCTGGGAATTCAAGGGCAGGAGAGGGAGCAATTGAGTTTGGATACTGACCCCAAGACCAGGAAATGTGGGGGCTACAAGTGATACAGGGGACTAAGAATAGCTTCCTCCACCACAGGAGTGGAACCCAGGGGAAATACCTGGGATATAGTCTTCCAGCATGGACTGGAAATTACTGGGCTCTGGAGGTGCCTTGATTTAAAATCTCCAGACCAATTGGCATTCAGCAAAGAGCCTGATGCCCACATAAATCTAAACCCTGCCTCCAGGAATTTCACCCACTGGATTCCCTCTCCCACTCCAGCAATCCAGAGGGTGGAATGTCACACTCCAGACAGACAAACCCACCTAAAGGTGTTGAGAATAGAGGTGACAATCTTTTGAACTCCAAATGAAAGAATTCTTTAACTTTTCTCCAAAAGATTTTTTCCTTTTTTTTCTCTATTTAATTGTGACCTTAATTAAACATGGACATTTATACATACTCATTTTTTTTCTAATTTCTAGCATTTTGAAGCCAGTTATTTTTCAAGGATCAGTTTTTTTGAGGACTAGGATGTTTGATTAGTATATTTTAATTTTTTTCTATTATTTTATTTTTAATTTTTTTAAAAATTTTACTTTATAATGTTTTTTCTCAGCTTTCTCCTGAAGAGTTAGGTGAAGTTGTTTCCTGAACTCTGAAGGTACCATAGGTGGTGGTTAGCATGTAGGTTCAAAGTCAATCCTTTCTGACTTCTTCATATATTTCTGAATTTAAAAGAATTGAGATAGTTTCATGGTTATGCGTTCTCACTGCCTTGGTCATATCTGATTATTTCAGCTCAAATTCTGGTGCTCACAGAGACTAAGTTCATGTGAGCAGTGCTAATGTAAATAAAATATATTTAATGAAGCTCATTCTTTTCTCTGTACTTTCTTTGATAAGCTGCACTCATGGCTGATTAATATGTGCTTTTCTCTAGTGTTTCAGCTCTTATCTTTATGACCTTTTTAATCCTAGTGTTGAATTTAATCCTTGCTATATTGTAGACACAGATGGAATCCCTATTTCAGAAATAATGACTATAAAAAAGTTTGTTTTAAATTTGTCTTATGTTCTGAGTTTCCTGTATCTCTTGACTTTCTTTTTGAAAATAAAAATTATTTTTCAGACTCATTAACTCTACTTTGAAGATTTTGCCTTTTATCAATCCTGAGAGTCACATGTTTCATTAATTCTGGAAAATTCTCAGGCACATTTCTTTAAGTATATCCCCTTTCCATTATATTTTTGTTTCTTTATAAAATTCTCATAGGACTATATTGGGATTCAAACTAATGTTTGTCTCTTTTGTTGTTGTTGTTGTTGTTTAGCTGATAATGGAATTTAATCCCAGGCACACTCTACCACTTAGCTGCATTTTTACTTTATTTCTTTGAGACAGAGTCTCACTAAGTTGCCCAGGCTGACCTCAAAGCTGCAAAGCTCCTACCTCAGTCTCCTGATTCGCTAGAACAAATGGTGGGACCCACCTCACCTATTACACTTTATGTCTTTCAATGCCCCCCCCTTTTTCCCAAAAGTTTTCATCTGTATATTGCATTAGAAGGAAGTTTTCAGACCTTTTGATTCAGAAATATTTCAAAATTATTTCACTCTTTTTTTGTTTAGTCTACTTTTTGAGTTTGTATACAATAATAACAATAACAGTAGTTTTAAGGTTAAATTTGCTTTACAAATGTGTCCAGTATTTTTAAAAATTATTTATCTTTTTTGTATAATTTCTTTTCCTAACTTTAAGCATTTCAAATATAATTTCCTCTCTGTATGTTTTTTGGTGTCAACTAAATTTCCTCTGTCAATTTCCATTCATGGTGTATTATTTCAATCTCTGCCGTCTACATTTGGACTGTGGTTAATGTTAAGAAAGTCTTTTGTGTGGGTCTTCTTCACAGCTTGTTGGAGGGGGTTCTCTTAATCAATTTTGCTTTAATTTTACCAGCTTTCATAGAGGTATTAAAAATTTATAGTAAAAAATTTGATCCCAGGATGTAGGCTCTCTATTCACACATCAGATAGAGCACTAATCTGTAGGATATATACAGAACTTAAAAAGCTAAACACCAAAACAAAACAAAACAAAACAAAACAAAACAAATAATCCAATCAATAAATGGGCCAATAACCTGAACAGACACTTCTCAGAAGAGGATATACAATCAATCAACAAATTTATGAAAAAATCAAAGCTACTCTAAGATATCATCTCACTTTAGTCAGAATGGCAGCTATTATGAAGACAAACAACAATAAGTGTTGACGAGGATGTGGGGAAAAGGGTACACCCATACAATGCTGCAAATTGGTGCAGCCAATATGGAAAGCAGTATGCCAAATCCTTGGAAATCTGGGAATGAAACCACCATTTGACCCAGCTATCACTCTCTTTATACCCAAAGGATTTAAAATCAGCATATTACAGGGACACTGCCACATCAATGTTTATAGCAGCACAATTCACAATAGCTTCCTAGATGAGTGGACTAAAAATATGTGGCATATATACACAATGGAATTTTACTCATCAATAAAAGAGAATAAAATCATGGCTTTTACAGCTAAATGGATGAACTTGGAGAGGATAATGCTAAGTGAAGCTAGCCAATCCCCCCCAAAACAAATGCCAAATGTTTTCTCTAATGTAAGGAAGGGGATTCATAGTTGGGTAGGGAGGGGGAGCATGGGAGGAATAGATGAATTCTAGATAGGGCAAAGGGGTTGGAGGGAAAGGGAGGGGGCAGGGGATTAGCAAGGATTGTGGAACATGATGGACATCATTATCCAAAGTACATATATGAAGACATGAATTGGTGTCAACATACTTTATATACAGTTAGAGATATGAAAAATTGTGCTGTATATGTGTAATAAGAATTGTAATGCATTTTTTGTCATTTATTTAAAAAATCAATAAAAATTTGCAATTTTTCTTATTATGAATTTTATTCCAGGATTATGTAAGTAGATATTTGTTAATTCTGAATTCAGAACAGTGATTTATAGTTTTCAGAATGAGAAAAGCAACCAACCAACATTTAGCAAGCAGATATACCAGCTTCCTTTCGAATATAATTGGTTTGGATATTTTCCTAGCTTATTCTGTCTCAGAATTGAAGGTATGGAAGAAGCCTGCATTACAATTCTGACCTGTATTCTCAGATCTAAGACCTGAATTTCAGATCCAGGAGACCACAGCAGCCCAACCAGTAGGGAACTTGGGCGTAACAATATCTGGTGTACACTGGTGACAGATACCAGTTTTATATTTCTTTGCTTATTTTATTCTAAATGCCACTTTTCATTTAAACTAGTTTAAAATGTAATATCACATTTCCTGGTGTTTTCTATTGGCAGGTCTTTTTAAATTACAGAGTGAGCCATCTTGACAAAAACAACTGCATAACTTTGTGTTTTTCATTAACACAGAGGATTCCAAGGGCCATGTGATAAATTATTTTACTGGGATTGKCAAGGGAGTCAAGGAGGAAGGATGGAGGTTAAACTGAATGGATAAAAGGGAGCAACAGAACAGGGATAAGGTCCTGGGGCTGAGATAAGAGCTAAGTGAAGAATGATGGTGAAAACCTGGAGAGGGAAAGGGGAGAGAAAAGCAGAATAGGGAAGAGAGGACACATGGATGGGTAGACATGGGAGAGCAGCTAGTCACAAAGAACATCACAGCCACAGGGATAGCAGCTAACATTCAGTTCCTTCCCGTCATTTTACATTCAGGGACACTGAGGCCAGGCTCAGGACGTTGCAATTTGGTGCAGGTGTTCTGTATGCGAAATCACATGAGTCTCAGTCTGAAGCTCCATTTACTGCAAGAAATTTGCTAAGAGGAAAAAACACACAGATTACATGTAAGAAAAGAAAGACAGAAAGAATAGAGAAAAACTTGAGGACTTGTGGGAGGGGGAGGAGAAGCACAGTGCTGGCAGGAAGTTAGGACAGGCAGTGGGTTTCTC